TGATCCTAGACGACACTCCCCCGGATACGTCACCGAATTTCGATTTCTCGCCAACCAAACCACGGAACTGGAGAATCGTATAGTAGAGATTCACAAAACTCTTATGTATGTCAGCCGTGATGTTTAATATTCGAATAACGTGCTTCAAAACTACCCGAAGTGTCTACATTGTAGACAACCGATCGGCTATCCAAAGTCTATAACTTATATCTCTGTATTTATTAAGTACTACAATTCGAGTCCTTATAAAAAAATATTAAAAAATCGAATCATGGAAAAATTCTAAAAGCGCCATATATCTTTTTACGTTAGCAAGATTAAGCAATTGATATATTTATTTTATTATATTAGTGATATTTTATTTATGTAAGTAGCAGAAAAATGTAAATTTAATTTTTAAATGTGTATATATTTGTGATTTTTTTCAGAGGACAATTACCTTCAGCAGCGGAATTAAATTATCTGGATAAAGTGAAGTGGCTGGAAATGTACGGGGTAGATTTGCATCCCGTATTGGTACGTAAGCGTGTTATTGATGTCGACATGACTAATGCCGCGATTATACATTAATCTCGCAACATCGTACAATTTTCGTTCGTAGGGTGAGGATAGTGTGGAATATTTTCTGGGTCTAACACCGAGTGGAATAATATTGTTACGGAACAAAACCAAAGTGGGAAATTACTACTGGCCTCGAATAAATAAAATCTACTATAAGGTATAATTTATAATTTCTGCAATGTTATTACCTCGCTAAAATTGCTGCCCCTCTTTCTTTCTCTTTAAGTGCTTAATTCTCAAGTAAATTCGAAAACTGATTTTACAATAAAACAATAAAAACGCATAAGAATATAACACAGTACTGCCAAATATTAATTTTTCCTTCGTATTTCTTTCTTGTTTTATGAAATGCCGAAAAAATCAACTTTCAGGGCAGATACTTCATGCTGAGGGTAAGCGAAAAAAATTCTGAGGAGAGAACGCACGGCTTCGAAACACCATCGAAAGGAGCCTGTCGTCACCTTTGGAAATGTTGCTTGGAACATCAAGCTTTTTTCCGGTTAATGGCGACCGGTCCACCGCCCCTTAGTCCGTACTCTCGCTTTCATTCGTACAGTCCTCCGTCCACTTTGGAGAAGCACGCAGGCATTAGACGAAACCCACCGCCGTTTCAAAGAACTCCCAGTCGAAGAGCGCAGAGACGAGTTGTTGAGGGTCAAGAGATGGTCGGTTCGTTCGTCGAAACACCCGTCACCGTAATCTCAAATCCAAGCAACAATCCATCCAGTGGTAATATACTGTGCAATACGCAAAGGCAGATAAACACATCGAGTCCGAGAAGCACGAGAAGCGCGCCGTGGACGCAAAGTCAACCTCGTGGCCTTTACACCTCGTCTAGTCCTCGCTCCGTTCGCTCCGCGGGAACGGCGCCGGCGGTTAGTTGATGATTATATTATATTCGCCCGTATATCAATGACTATGCTTAACCCACTGTAAAGTTGATCACAACATTTACTCAAACGAAAACGTTATATATTAGGTGTTGAACTCAATTCCTGCCGCTCGCTTAATTTAAAACAATGTTCCACACCTTCAAAAAATCTAAAAAAAATTTTTGTAATGTAATATGCTAAAAAGTTTGACACACTTTTTAGCATATTACGTTAAAAAAATTTTTTTTTTAGATTTTTTAAAGGTACGGAACATTGTTTTAAATTAAGCGAGCGGCAGGAATTAAGTTCAACACCTAATATATGCGTATGGCTTAAGCCCAGTTTTTTATTTAAGTTTTTTATTTAAGTTATTTAGTTAAGCTCAAACACAAGTTAATCAGATGGTGAAAAACCGGGTCATCATAATAAACAAAAGAATCAACTTGTTGATGGGTCAAGCATATCCGCGCAGTGCATTATAAAATTTCCGCATTTGAATTGCCTTATAAACGCTGTCTATCGACGTAGCTCTTAAGTAGACTTCAACGTCGGAGCAGCTCGGTGGAGAGTCAAAGTTCGGGGGACAGTCATAGTCGCAGTGGTCACCGTAGACGAAGTCATAGTCATAGTCATCGTCGACATAGCAGACATTCCGATTGCGAGTCTGAGCTTTCGAGAGGTTCAGATACGAGATCCGGCCATCGAAAACATCGCAGAAAACACAGAAACTCTCGTTCTTCTAGGTATATTTACATATTAACTTCAGTTACGTAGCGTTGCATTCTTTCTCTCACCGCGATAACATCTCGTTCCCATAATTGTTTCGTAAATAAAGTACCTTCTTGATGAATTCAAATCACGAACCCTTATAAACATCAGTGTGTAATTAAAGCAGTTTGGTTATAATGAGTCTTGTTCCCATCAATAACAGGTTCATTAACCTTTCCTAACATCATTATTTTTGCATACATTTTTCCTTAATAAAAGAATTTCTTTTCTATACAGGGGGGATTTTTTTCTTTTAAACTAGATCAATAAGTACTAACTTAATCCAAATATATTATTTTTCACAGTAGACACGAGTTGGTAGATTCGGAGCCGCAATGGAGAGAGGCGCAGAAACGAAAAGGAGAAGGTGTGCAAAAAGCTATCGTAAGTATCATTATTCGATCGTTACATAAGATTATCTTGTTTATGATATTTGATTAATATGCCATAGGTGAGTCACACGGAACCTAGAAGAAGACACAGAAGCAGACATCGAAGCCCTTCTCAGAAACAACCACTGCCGGATGAACTTCGAAAGTAAATATATTATATATCTCAAATACTACGAATGTTACACTGTCGTAGTTTCACGAGATATTCGCGACAGGCTTACACTGGCCGCAAAAAACAATTCATAGATTTTTTTTCTTTAATACGAATTGCAACTTGAATTTACTGAACAAATTTTATCTCTGTTAGTCCATGCTTTCATGAATGCTGACAGTTTATCGATCGTGAGAACGACATTAAAAGTATGACATATTCTTTTTCAGACATTTGGAATTTGGCCTAATCGACACTAGCGGGATGAGCGAGCAGCAACGTCGAGAGATATCCTACACGGTGGTACAGTCGCAATCTGTACAGCAATCTCCCTTACAGTCTAACAATTCTCGATTGGACGACACAGATTCATCGTCCCTGCCTAGGTACGATGATCTCAAGACGGCCTGCAATCTTCACAACCATCCTCCGCAATTGGAGGATGAGACGGGATCCGTAGTCATTGTTTAGTTACCCCCTCATCCTGATTTCCCCTTGCATGTATTTTTTTTTTTTTATTTATTTCGAGCATGTATATTATCTACTTTAAGCATGCCCCCTATTATTTATTTGAAGCATGACGAATCCTTAATAAATAAGTGAGATTAACTGCTTGTCGCACCTGTTTATTTTTACGTCCTAGCTGTGGCACTCATTCGCTTCTGGCTGTGTTCCATGGAATTTCAAAGGCGATGCGTGCCGATCGCCTTCATACTGGGGTCATATTTTATCCGTGTGTTTTTATTTCTCATGCATTATGTATATTATACAGTATGCGCCATGTATTTGTGTAATAAATGTTGGTAATTTGGGAGGACGGACGATGTCAACGTTCGAGGCTCGGGACACTTCATGTTCCGAGTCTTTCTTATGACATTCCTCGTATATCCCATTCGATTCCCTACACGTACCCGGCGCATCTTGTGCATTTTATTATTTTACAATCTTTGTATCTTCAAAAAGTTACGCTTTAAAATGCGCCGCGATACAGTTTACAAAAAAAAAAGCGAATGTATTAATGGAGTTTGTGATTTTACGTTAATTTTGATAACTTGTGCACCGTAAGAATATAGTCGAAGTGTGTGTAAATTAACTGTATGTACTAAAACAAAAAAAAGAAAAACACGCATCAATCTGAGTCGAGCACAGTGGACCTACTAGTCGCTAAAACGACTGAGGTACCAGACTGTCAAGGATTCCCTTTCAGAACTGTTGGATCCGTTGGCAAAAGGGAAAGAAGACACATGCGGCATTATCGTGATGGAAGTTATAACTTGCTGTCGGCAACATCCAATCGAGTCGAGGCAAAGTATCCCAGGACTCGAAACGAATATAGCACGAAGAAGGACTTTTATTATACTCGTAGCAACCGAGTGTCAATAGGCAATAATGCAGACAGTGGACTCGGGGAAAGCACACCGCAGGATTTTTCAAGCTGCTGCTCAAGTTCTGCTGACAGCAATAAGCCTATTCATGTAGTACGTATCCCAGTTTGCTCGTATTTTTATTATAATATCATATTTCTGCTAATATTTGTTTTAAAATAAGTAATGATCGAGCGATGCACATTTTGCTTTATAATTAGCTATTTAAAAATAATAAAAATTAACGAGTAAACACGAATTTTATATAATTCGTGCTTACTTCTCGTAAACAAAAATTGAATGCTAATTGTAATAAAATCTTAATCACTCATGTTTTTGTAAAAAAAAAAAAAAATCACCAAATGCTTCTATATACAGATGTGTGGCTAAGGTTTCCTACTAGTTTCCTACAAGTTTTGGCTAATCACGTCATAAATATCTGAGATAGCGACATTAGAATCGGGAATCCCCTTCCAGCGACACATTTTCGTATATGCATGCTAGTACACATAATAGCTTCATTTTATGAAGTAATAACATAATGTGGAATGATATTATTCTTCTAAATAGTAGATTAGTAAAACGGTTTTGTTTGGTATAGACACAATTGCAATTAGGGGGAGAGGTACACTATGAATTGCCTTCAAATCAAGAAATCTACCCTCCTGTTGATACTACTCTGGATGCTGTTCTCCAACCCATTATATCGTAAGTGCTTGTTTTTGTGCTTTGTGCTTTTTTCTTACTCAAGTATTAAATCAGATCTCGATTTGATTTGTATCTGGCTTTATTAATATCTAATACATTATGCATCACTTAAGGACACACTTTGGATATAGATGTAAAAAAGTTAATACATTATAAATGTTGAAAAAGTCCTCTTTATATTATATCTTCGATAGTATCGATAGTATATTAATTTAATATACACGATAAATTTGATTGTTTCAGAACATTAACGAGGAGGCAACGGAGCCACCCAAAACAATCGTAAAATTTTAATACAAAACGAAAATTTTATATGCTGCTGTTGTACATGTAAAATAACGTTCATACCTTAATTAAAATTGATAATATTTGTGGATCGTTGGATCATGTGAGGCGAGAAGAAAATATTGTTGAATAAAAGTAGTACGTTTTAGTCTCCATGATAAACATATTCCTTACATACAAATCTTATTTAAATGTCTTTCGATGCCATGTGTCTCATGAGATTGCCTATGAACTTTTCCATTTTCTTTAAGTCCTGAGCTATTTCTGTTCTGTATTGGAGGCACTGCAAACAGTTTTGATTATTGGTATTACTGATATTCTTAATAATAGGAACAAATACATAAGCTGTTTACATTCTTCAATCTTAAGATATACTTCTAAAATTGCTTACCCGTCGATTATCTGTTAATTTTAGACATAAGACTCCTTTACTGTGACAATACTTCATCGTATATCGGGTCTGAAATAAAACAGAAAGAGAAGTTAAAATATACTACATAAATAGTTATTCGCTCCATTATATTTATATGCAGTACTTTAATTTGCAGTTTTGCATATATCATATGCTACTAGATTATATTTTACTTTTTTCTTTCTTTAATGCTTTCATTGCAATACTAAAAGGCAAAAGAAGATTGAAAGTAATTGATAAAAGAAGAACAAATAGTCTTTTATACATTATGCAGGGAACATTACAAATTTGAACAAAACCTTATAGAACAAATATCATATATTTTTTTATCATCACTCTTTAGTTCGCAGTTGTGTAAATAATTCATTACAAACTGAATGAGTGGGCATTTTCAAAGTGGTACACAAAACGTCATGTTGATACTAGAAATGTATCAAAGTACAAGCAAGCTTTTCTGGCATGCGTTATCATAATCTCAAGCTGTATATACGGATCGAGAGATTTTCGTGCGGTGTTGAAAAGACAAGCAGCATTAAAGATTTTAAAGTTATTATATTAATAGTTTTTTAAAACATACGTTCATCGGATCCTGCAGGTATAACCTCTCGGCGCCTCTTTCGAATTCTTCCCACGAACTCAGATACGTCATCTTTATCACTGATACGACGACGTGTGTTTATTTTCGCGAGTAAAAAGTATACAGGAGGCGAATTAATGTTTTTACCAAATAATGCTAGAGTCATTCACGAGATTATTGCAGATTATCATCGATGACACCGATTGTCAGTATCGTCACACACGTGTATACACCGTGTGTCCGTGTATATTCGGCATTACTCTGGCGACTCTGGCGACAGAGACGCTTTCCGACGCGTTTTGGAACACAATCACATATCACGATCGTCCATTGATCGAAGGAAGCAAATGGTGCACAAATCGACCAATCACAATTAAGAGCGCACTGCCACTTTCAAATTCACGGTTGGGATTCGCCAATTCAATTGCTGCTTATAGTTTTCTTCTACCAAAACTTCAATTAACCGTTCCTAAATTTAATTTTTAGCATTGTTCGTTTTATCTCTCGGGAGCTACTCGCGGGGTCGTTCCGAATGAACCCACCGTACTTGAAATGTAGGATTCACATTATATCATACGACCGTTCGATATTCATCGCAACAACGATATTAGCGAATATTAGCGACGAATGTCGTCCGTAGGATAAATCCTATATTTCAAGTACGGAGCGACCCCAAGCAGCTCCCGGCAGACAAATACTTTTCTTTCCATGTGTTACAAAGAAAATGATCGAATCTATTGAAATCTATTAATTGTGTTACGAAGAAAAGATAAATCTATTGACATTAACAAAATACAGATATGTTATTCGATTAGATAATTATCAATTAAATTAATGATCAAAATTTCAAGTCATCCCAAAAGTTCGGAATCATTGTTCGTGAACTTGAGTTGAACGTGCAATTGAGGCAGCTCGTCAAAGGTAATCTTTCGAGAAAAATTTAAGTATATATATATATACTGAACACTGTAAATTTATTGGGAGAAAAAAATAGTGAAAGTTAGATACGCACATGCTTTCCGAAGCAAAATTATCATATGAGAATATATTATATTTGGAATAAGAGATAACGAGAGTTGAAATTTGAGTCTGCAAGCGAGATTCATAATATATTTCGATAAGGTACGTTCGAACTGATAATTACGAAAATTAATGTCCTAATTAACGTTACTTCCCCAACAGCACAGAACTTGCAGCAATATCGCTGCAAGTTTTGTTAATAAAATATTGAAATGTATACATATATTTATTTACATTGGAAATATGCGTCTGAAAATATTCTATTGAGTTTTTTATTTCATCATATAGTACATATAATGAATGAAAAACACGCGAAACGGAGATTAAGTGCGAAAGAGAGCAAAAAATATGGAAAGGAATGGAATAAACAAATTGGCCGTGCAAAAGAAGATGAACGGCCAGGATACAACCCCCACGATACGAAAGAAGGCGATCTGACGGTGACGGCGATCACTCGTCGAACGTTGAGTCTTTCAGTTTCTTTTGGACCGCCGCGCCACGAGCGCGGACAGCGGATGCAATTCACGGCACGATGCGCGTGTGAAAGTTCGCACATCCGCGTGTACATCCTCTACGGATACGAAGATGAGAAGCAGAAGGAGATGCGAGAGAGAGAATAAGTAAAAGGACAGAAAGGTATACGCGTGGTATAATTATACGATACGCCATCGGGAAACACGTAAAAACTGCGGCAACGAACGAGATCGCATTCATTCAGTACGAATCCTAGCTTATTTCCGCGTGTTTAAACGATTATATCGCCGTGCGTGCATTTTTTTGTGAGCCGCGTACAGAAAGAATACTCTGTATTTTCTGTAAGGAGCAAACAGGAAAAACACGTATCTTTCTTCATATATTAAGACTTTGTTTTTCGCAACGCTGCGCCGTTACGAGGAATCTCTCTACATGTTTTATTGCAGTTATTATCTGTTACTTAATCAACGATAGCATAAGTCATTGTCACTTTCTTTCTTTATGTCCCAAGTTTATTACTTTAGCTCCTACAGCGCGCAGGTGTGTTGCAATCGGCAGTGTCGCTCCTGCGTTCTCCAAGCAACAATTCGGATCTGTCGCGTACGTGCGTTAACACCGCACTTAGAAATGAAAGTACCGGCTTCGGATCCGTTTAATTTCACGGCAGATCCGTGAACGGCGTGAACATGAATAAATTTGAATCGGCGCAGAAGGACGAGATATGAGACGAAATGAAACTGCATGGACAAAACTTGTTCCTATATATGTATATTGTTCGATGATTGCGCGAAGCTCTGATTATCACAGTCCATATATTATATAGGATTGCCAGTAATAGATATAGGGATCATCCGAAGAGATCCCGCGTTTGAAGAACACGATCATAAACCGCAACAATCTCTTCGGAACACCGAACGGTCGGAGATGTCATCCGCACGTTTCGACGTTTGCGAAAGCGATCTTACTTAAGGATCTTTCGGTACCCGATCCCGATCCCGATCCCGGTCCCGAGCCAGATCGGAGCCAGGCGGAACGACGCGCGACGTACGCGCTGCAGTAACGATTCTTTTTTCCGTCGACGGTCCTAAATGAGTGCGAGTGAAAGTCCGTGAGTCCAAATATATTTCGCGATTTCATTCCGCGGGCCGCTGGCGACGATGACAGCCACGTTATTGTGCGTCACTGCGTATCCACCTGCGTTGTTTCTGCTCGTATATGTAATGCTATCTTCCCTATATTACATACGCACATATATAACAACCGCCGCCCGCGCCGTAGAAAGGCCGTAGAATTCTCTGAAGAGAAAATATGCTAAAATCTTGCGTTATTAATTCTTTCGCGCGACGCTCGTCGACAGCCCGCATGAAGATCGTATTCATTATCGTTGCCGCGGGACGAAGTAGTAAGCGATATCGTGTGACTCAAGTTTAGAAAAGACTCCGTTACGCATATTTATTATTCTATACGTGCGAAGAAGTATTCTCACAATCGGCTTGGGTGTTTTAACTCACGTGTATCGATATATGTATTCACGTAACAATGGTTGCAGAAAAGCAGCTTTGCCAAAATTTACCGTTGTAAAGATTTTTCATTATGATTGATTATATATTTCATCCAGCAATTAGAAATTAAGGACGAGAACCAATTATTAAAGAATTATTAGAGAATCTTAGAATAGTTGCGAAGATGCTTCTTCTACTAAACGCAATCAATTAATAACGACATTATGCGTCTTCGCTTTGCTTTTCGCTCATCTCGACATTTATATAAAAGATTATGTAAAAGATTATTATACATACGATCTCTAGCTGTTACGTGACGTTTATACACAAAATATACACGTGTTTTTAATTTAGAAATTAAACCAGCCATAATTGAATTGCGGATTGTCAGTTTTATTCCCGTTTCTGTATCAATGTACATTAACTTTTTAATCTCAGTTTATCTAAATTTATATCTTTTTCTAATTCGCAGAATTAGAAAAATCGTGCTGATAACGCAAAAGTTAATCTATACATTTGCATAAGAAACAGGCATGAGTTGACAAAGTTACATAGGAAACATTTTTGTGAAAGTAATCACATTAATTTTTGCAGATATAATTCGAATTCGTTGAATGCCATTATATTATATCGATCGCGGGGTGGTAACGATTTATGTGTGAAGACCGTTCTACCAATAATCATTACGAAGTTATTAACGTTATGCGATATTTTAGGGTGCACGGTGTTAATATACGTAAACATTGGCGAACGTGCCGTGCTGATGTGAAAGTGGTTGGCTACTGCCTGGCTTGCCGACGGCCGTCTGGCTGCTGATGATGGAATGTACAACGGTCGAGCGCTGCAATGTGCACACTGATCTGACTGATCCACACGTCTCCTAGGTAATTACGTACATACGTACGTGGATATACGTACCTCTTGCGTTATGAGGTAATGCTCACCAATGCTGAATGCTCACCGGACGTTGATCAGCAAACGACCGATCGATTTACCGAAAATCGTGCTACTTTGAGGGTTGGCTCCGAAAAATATCGAATATATATATATATGAGTATACGAACGACACACGTGCAACGGAATTTAATGCAACAAACACAAAGGGCGCTTTCCATTACTCAAGTTGACCTAATTTGAAAGCTATTCTCGCATATCCGCTTTCTCTTCGCTTCGTACGTCACGTTGTCGAAATTTGACACGGCGCGGCGACGCGACGCCGCGCCGCGGAGAGGAGTCCCTCGGCTCGCTCGTGCCGAGGGTACCGATAACTCGTCACGCGGAGGAGAACCGAGAAGAGAAGGTCAAATAAAGTTCGCAATAACGTAAGCTCGAAGAAAAAAAACGACGATGACCTCCATTAACGTTCGCTCGTTCGACACGTCCCGAATAATACGTAATAGGCGTTTTACACTGGCCGATTTCTTACGTGAACACAACGAATGTGAAAGCGACCTTGAAACGTGGATCATCCGTGGATCACACGCGCGCGTTCGATAAGATCGTCTGGTGAAATAAACATGTATATCAAGACTATCGAGAGACACGGTAGTGCTGTAGGCTCGGCCCTAAGCCACGCGCAACGACACTATATCGTGGCTACTTAACGCGAGACCGCGAGAAGTTACGGGGGATAATTTTGAGATTATTAGATCTCAATAACGGTTGAATAAATTTATACATAAAGCGCGATTCGCTTTCGATAAGAGGCAAAAGAGACCGATCGCTATGACCCGTAGGAATCCACGTGGTCCATCGACGACAAAAGCGCAGCTGATGATTGAGCATGCGGCGATGGTTCCAGCAGCTGGCCTTGGACGAGCTTGCGTCCGATCTCTGCGGTAGCGTCAGGTAGCGTTCAAAGTCCGAATGCCACCGAGTGCCGTCGGGGGATGCGTCCGAGTGCCGGCGTAGCGAGGCGAGCGGCGATCCCGCGCGATCCTGGAGACCCTGGAGACCCTGGAGACTCTGGAGTCAGGAGTCGGATCGATCCCGAAGGTGCAGAAGTCGATATTAGACGTGTTTATGCCGCGTCATCTACGATCGAACCTACGTACGACATCGAATGGTATACAAGTCTCCGACTATATTACATTATCTTGACAAAAATTTAAAAATTAGAAATTATGTCAGTTCTTATCTATAATCCAATTAATATGATGAGAAAAACTTCCAACAATTGCAAAATAAATTTTACTAAATTGAAATCGAATGGTGATTTTCTCAATTAATAAAATTCTCGATTAATATAAAAATGGAAGTTGTACTTTATTCGAAATTATTAAATTTTATACGAGGAACGCGACATATCTACTTTTTACTCCAATTTAATAGAAATATTCAATGATACATTATATGTATTTATCGCATGTCCATCATACTCGACGAAATATAATTTTCCAGGATAAGATCGGACTTGGCAGATATAGAAATTTCTAAATTCGTGAGCGGCATCGCAGGTAGCAAATCAACGACGTCGCGCAATAATCCACGAAGATGTTACAGAACGTCGACGAGCTCCGGTTATTCGAGCCATTCGCCGCCGTTATCAGCTGGCTCGTACTCCTATTACGCGTCAGCGTCAACGAGAGATCCATCGTACGGTAGCCTAGCGGTGATTCACGAGAGCGAAGCGATACCGCGGCCCATTTGGCCTTCCGTCATCTATCATCATGCCGAGGATCACAATGCAGGCGGTTATGAAGGTATATAAACGGAATTAGTGACGACTTCGCGCTGTGCAGTTCACTTTCACTTTTCAAAAATCTCGTTTATCGCACGTTAATGTTTTTGCTTTATCGTAACAGGTATTTATACGTGCCGCGTATGCGGTTGCATGTATAAGTATTCGCAGCCGCAGCTGACATCATCACCATCAAGAGCTCGTGAGGTGCTGCTCGAATTATCCCGAACTCTCAATTCTGTGATAGATGGCAACGTCACGGCGGCACCGGAAGATATCTTGCACGATATATCGCGCATTGTTTCCCTAGAGATTGGCACGAGGAACGACAACGTGTACGAATACATTTGCCCATCCTGGGCGTTTAGTAATAAGAATCCAATGGTGTCGCCGAGCTGCGTGAAGAGCGTACCGTCGAAAGTGAATCCAATCAACTCAAAACTTTGTGTAAGCCCTCGTTGCCTCTACGAATACAACTCGGCGAGATCCGCGCCGTCGCTTAAGAACGACAGAACAATGAGATGTGAAGGCGACAACGAAATGAGAAACAACTCCAGTCTCGCGAGAAAGAAATCTTGCGCAACAGAGTCCAAGTATTCGGTGAGTACTAGCTCGAATAGCATCTAGCTTCATGAGAAAAAACTCTTCGGATTTACATTGTTTGATTGATGCTCGTTTCTACCAACGTAGATTAAATTTTATCTCAGTTTAACTTTCTCTTTATCTTTTTTCAATTCTAAGAATTAAAAAAGGAATGAATTGAACGTGAATTAAAATATATTAATCTACATTTTGGTGGAAACGGACATAAACATGTTTTAACCAATGTTCAGCAAGTGTGTAATATATATAATTATGCTCTATGGAGGAACATATTATTTCAGCAGCTAGTATGCAGCGACGTCGGGTCGTCTATAACCGAAGGAACAATTGCCTCGTTGAGCGCGAATAACTGGAACCATCGCTTAGCTGTTGGAGGCTTGGGCGAGGAATTTGATTTCACGCTCGACGTAACGCAGGCTGAACGTTTAGGCCGGACGATTGCGAGAGCGAAACGGAAGCGGCAATGGTGCAGAGCCCTGACCACTCTCTTCGGTTTAGTTTTCTTCGTGTTGAGCGTCGTCATCGTTTCGTTATCTGTAACGAGGGGTCGTAAGGTGTTTGGAAGCATGTAAGAGTCAAAAGGCAAGAGCTTATGCGTGGTCCAATTAGTATTTATTCGGCTTATAATGCTTTTCCTCGTGAAATTAGTCGAATTGAACATTTTAAACAAACGCTTCGATATAGCTCTTACCACAAACATTTTGCGATACGAATTCTCTCGTTCCATTATATATGGCTACTTTCAATGCCTTACTTTAAAATATATGTACATATATATATTATATGTGTACAATTAAACTTAGTGAAACACGAAGAAGATCCTGCAATCACGATATATGGCTGTGACCATGTTCTTTTGCATGCGTATAATGTTAAATATCGTATAGCGCATCATGATCGTGTTAAATATGAATAAATTAGACTTCTCGCAGGGACAGGTGCGAATAACGTTACCAGTTGATTGACGTCGCGCAGAAACAAACGGGTATATCTATGTAGAACAAGGACGACTTCGACTAAACAATTCTAATTAACATAACCGGGCGATTAATTTATAATTAGCAGAAGTGCTCAAAGTGAAAATGTATTAATTAGTTGTCTTTGAATTGTATATGTTAATTTTGGTTTGCTGGTTTGTTCAAATTTACTGTATATGATCATATCGTTTGGACCAATGTGATTTAAAGCTCTGATAAAATAAAAAATAAATTTTATAGAAAATATATTTGTATATAGAAAATATATTTTACATTAATAGACGGAGTTAACAAAACAGAACAAAATTTTTTAAATAAAATATTAGTAAGAAGATAAAATTACAATTTGAATCAAATAAACTCGAACAAACCAGCAGAGTTAAGCAACGAAAAATAATAATCCACGTTAATAAAATATTACTTAATAAAGTTAATTACCGATTATTAATTCAGTATATTATTATTGAATTGCTTATTGAAATTTCTAACTAAATTTTGTCGTTTCTGATCCAATCTCTTTGTTTTCCATATTTTAAAATTTCAAATAACAGAATATAATTCTAAATTAAGAAAATACAAACACATTGCTTGACAAATTATTCTTTAATCAAGTTAATCAAAGTTTAGTCGGAGCCATTCCAAAACTAGCTAGTAACTTGTGCGCGTCAATTTGACACTAGTCCAAGCACTTCAAGAGTTCAAGCTAGTAGCGCTCGGCGCGGCGCTGCGAACGACAGGCGAAGAAAATCGAATAATGGATATGTGTTGTGTACTTCTGTGTATGTGTTGGTATATGTTTGTATCGTGTATCGCGATCGCGAGTGACAGATCGAGCGAATTGTCGAAGGGGTGAAACGTTAAAATTAAAGGGACGAGTCAGCATTCCAAGTAATCATCTCTAGCAGTGATTTCTAGCTCGATACACGATAATATCTCCTCTTAATCGACATATTTTCTGTATCCGTCAAGAACATTCCAGATTTCTTACTCCACGATCTCGTCCAGGTTATGCTCATATCGATCTCTCTCACATTTGTCCGATTGTTGTCTCGTGGAGGCTCGATATCTCTTTTCTCGAGGTAAGAGAGAATCATCCTGCTTTCTGCACCTTCGAAAGTGAACGTACGTAGCAAACGCAGTAATGATAAGAAACGAGATGATTGATTGTGCGATCTACGAAGCTGCAGCTGTACGCTTCGAGACGAACATTTGACATTTCTGTCCTCTCTCTTTCTCTCTCTCTCTCTCTCTCTCTCTCTCTCTGAAAATTGCTTCTCTATAATTTTAGATTATAAAAATAAGTTAGATACAGAATGGTGTGCGTGCCATGCTTCGCGGTTCCTATAATCCTAATAATATGGAGGTTCCTTATACAACCGTTATTGATCAAGTGGTGGCAGTTGAGAAGTAAAGGACAGGAGGTCAAGGGGGATCAGCTATGTCCAGATTTGATAAAGGAATGCAAAAATGGGACATGTACCCTATCATGGAAAGATAAAGGTGATGCAGTAAAAAAAAACGAATGAAGAACAGCCTGGGTTGCTTTTCGTTGGGATAAGCAGTTTGCTCAATCGACATGGGTTACTTCAACATTTACGTTTTTGTTAAACAATCAGAAGTTTATAATTTAAATATATTCTATTGACACAATTACAAATCACTCTTAAGACATTTATTGATCTGTATTCAACTAAAAATAAGACAATCTGTTGTTTTAGTTAATCGAACTATGTATATTCTCTGTATATGATGATATTTGATGTCAACATAATAAAACATATTAAATCATAAAGATTAACTATGTGGTTTGTAAGGGTCTTTGTTATGCATACATGGACATGTCAAGATTTGTTAAACGAAATATGATTATCTTATGTATAATAGAATAAATATATAATATATATAAACGTTCTCTTATCATTTTACTTTAACATTACTTTAATTTAATTTATGATTTGAAGCTATAAAATTTTAAGGAATGTGCATGTCAAAATATTAAAACAACATAGTATAGCAATGCTTTTATTTACAAACAGTTTTCTTAATTCTTAATACTAAACTCCAACACCGTTGATCAAACTATGACATTAAATTTATAACTTAATATTATATTTGTTTCATACGTATGTTTATTCACAACGTGATATTTTAATTAAATTTGCACTTCAGTCGTCGATCTTTGTTTTATTATGTATGAAAGACAATCAAAAGTATAATTATATTATAGAATACAATCATAGAATATAATTGTATTATAGAGATATGCTAATTTATGAAATATCCATATATTGTAAATTTAATGTCAAATTATTACATGATCTGTTCACAGACATTTTTATAGAATTATCAAAACATTTATTATCTCTCTTTTGTAATTCACCAATTAATAATTATAAGTATTTATTGTGAATAATTCTTATAAACGATACCTTATTATCTTTTTAATGATAAACTTAAATCTATAGGAGAACTTAGAAAAATTTATTTTAAAAATCATCTGCAATAAATTTTGAACTATAAAGTTTATAAATAAAAATATCAGAGAATTTAAATAATATATATACATATACATATATATATATATATAATAGATATATATCATCTTTCTAACATCTGAATGATTATATCATATTATAATTTAATATTAAATCACATTGTGATAAAATATTAAAATCATATGTATGTACATCAAAATTTTTATATAAAAACTTTTCAATTTTACTTGTTTAATTCTCTAAAAAGTATTTCCCATTTTTACCTAAGCATGTATCAAACACTAAATAAAAAAAGATTATATATTCTAATAAGATAGCAGTTGTAAAGTTATTAATAATTAATAACTCGACTTTTGATGAATTTATTTTCACACATAATAAGTATGAAATGAGGAGCATATTAGTTCAGATCTTCTGCTTCAAATACAAAAAAAAAAATTGATTTACATCCTAATAAGGTAGCAATCATCATGTTAAAAAAGATCCTTAAATTATTCGTAAATAATATTTAAATCATTAAAATTTACTCAAGTTTTATAAAAGTATATCATATATAATTATCAAATAAAGAGAAACATGTCAGCAGAAAATTTAAGAGTTTGATTAAAATACAAGATAAAAATGTCATATCCTAAAAGATAGCAGTTGTGAAATTCATCTAAAAAATTCTTAAACTATTCATAAGTTAGTCAATACCTAAATTATTGATACTTATTCGACTTTCTTAAGTTCAACATCATATACAACTGTAGAATTAGGTGGAACTTTGAGTCCATAACTTTCATCTCTAAATCTGTAAAAAATATAATAAGACTATAATAAGTTTATTAGTTAGATTATATGTTTTCACAAAATGTGACCGGACATTATACTTGAATAAAGAATTTTTTTTTAATTATAAAACTTACTCAATGCGAAACGAACTGAAATGTATGAGTATAAAAAGCATAAGGAAGAATGCTATACATACGCCATTTTGGGTGGTATTATAAGACGACGTTTTTCATCAATTTTCATTCCAATTACTCCTACATCCAAGCCATTGATCACGAATTTTGCACCGAGTTTAAATCTCAAACCAAGGTTTTCAAATCGATCATACTCTTTCAGCATTTGTCCGGTCTTCACATAAGCCACATAATGGATTGTGACGTATTTGCCTATTTCTGCGATTTTGCCAGTACCAGGTCTTAACTCTTGCACTTTTACACCACCCTTTATAATTCTTACATCTTGCTGCTTGCTATTCTTTTTTGTTTTATCAGAATCTTTTTCCTTTGATTTTTTCTCAATTACTTTAGCCTTCTGCTGTTTCTCTTTTATTTCTCGTTTTTCAGATTCTTTCTTTCTCCTTTTTTGTATCCCACTCCTATTTTCATTTTTTCTTCCATTTTTCTGTATAATTTTTGATCTTAAACGATATATTGGTGACTTATTTTCTTTGTCACTTTCTTCATCATCGTCATTACTTTCCATAGAAGAATCCTGAATAAAACTCTCAGAAGAATCCTCAGAAGAACTCTTAGAAAAATCCTCAGAAAAATTCTCAGAAGAATCCTCAGAAGAACTCTCAGAAGAATCCTCAGAAGAACTCTCAGAAGAATCCTCAGACGGAATCTTAGAAGGATTCTCAGAAGGACTACTATTAAAATTAATGTTTTCATTGCAATGAAGTAATGACCTTACGCATTTTGTTTTTTTCATTCTGTTATCTTTCACAAAGCTTTTTCTTTTTAAGTTTGGAATTTGAAGAGGTATTCTATCTTCTTGGATTTGTTCCTTTATAATAAAGTATGGTGTAACTATCCAGTTATCCTGGATTTTTGCTGTTGTATATTTATTCAAATATTCAATTAGTTCTTCTAGACAAATTCCTTTGCTTTTTAGGTCATTTACTTTTTCGTTTAAGATTTGCCAAGATAAATATGTTATCCAGTTTGGGTTATTAAATGGAGGTTCTATCAAGTCAATTCTATAATGTCCAGTTAGATGAACGGTGCTTCCACCGTTGCATGAAAGGGTTACAACAGTTTCCTTTGGCACAAGAATGTCGAGTTGAACTTGCCATAGTTTATCCTTGTGTAAAGTACAAAGCAGAAATCTTATCTGCTCATAAATCATTATTACTTGTGTCGGTCTGTCACCTGCAAAGAAGGCAATGCGCGCGCGATTTTCAGGCACGTAAACAACTGTTTCGCAGAACATAATTTGCTATGTAAATAAACACATACATGATACAACGCACGTTTAATCTTAATTTTGACCTACGGAACAACTTGTAATACTACTCTCTGTTAAAATGTAGCGTTAGAACGCGCCACATATTGTATCTGACCATTTTACACGTACATGAAAGCGCATAAAGGTATATCAAGACATCAGAGGCAGGAATTAATGGAGTTTACAGACTTTACGAGGGTGAGTTTCAGGTATGCCGTCGAGGTTTCATGAAAGAGTTCAGAAGTTGTGTCTTACTAGCACGTGTGATATCCAAACTTGCCATAGTTATGCGAAAGGATTTATTCACATATTGCGAGTATTTACTCCCCGGTTCTAGCGTCAGCGCTGTAACATGAATAATGACGTTGGCTGGATGAAACGTTTCACCGCAATATATATTCATGGATTTTATTAGTATTTACAATTGAGCAGCAAATCATCTTACCCCAAAATGATACCATTATGTCTCCAAATTACAACGAAAAACTGGTCAGATCGGAAAAAGAAAGTGGAATCCGTTCGCAATAACTTCTAGCAAACGAGTATGTAGTTGGTCACTACGATCTACGATCAGCAAGATCGAAGTAGATTCGAATTTACTTTGTACACGTACTTCCATCGATCGAGGGAAATTCTGCGCATGCGTAAAAGTGTCAATTTAACAATGCCTATTCTTTTCTTATGTTAAGATAGAATGCGTGGTATGTAGATTTCGTGTGCCTATAGCTTCTTTAATCTTTTTTGTTATTTTTTATTCGTTATTTGATTTCCTATTTTGTTATTCTTACAATAATTATTTTCGTATATATTTTTTATAGTATAGGTGTGTGTACCAATTAATTATCTGTCCATACAACGCATAGTTCCTCAAATATAAATGCCCTGTGAGGACACTCATAGGATGATAAGAATGTCATCTAGACTTCCTTAGGACATCTGTTGAAGAATTGTATGAATGTTTTACGTATTATGTAATTTATTATTTGTATATACTTGATAATACACAAATATACATAAATTATTATAGAAATTGAAGAAATTCGAAAGAATACATGTACCGATCGAAAATCGACGATGTTACCAACAAGAGCTTGTTTATGTTGCTTAAAATCCTCCAAATTTTTTGTATTTAAAAGGAGATAAATTGTATTTAGATATTGGGACGAAAGAATGCGAAGATGCTGAGTACAAAAAGTACAAGCAACGCAAACCGATCTAAAAAGCGGTCAATCTTGACTGTGTTTAAAAATTCACTGCCAACGCTAAAAATCTATATAGGCTACGTTCCGTTTTTACTACGAGTACTAAAAATTTATATAGTTCACTGCACTATATATGTATATCAAATTTTCAACAGTGGTAGTGAATTTTGGAAAACAGCTCTTGTAGCGCTTTCCATTGAATTCGCATGATTTAAAATTTGAACGATTAGTGTCCGTTTCTACCAATGTAAATAACTACAATCTCGATTCAACTTTTCATTTCTTTTTTAATTCTTAAAACTAGAAAAAGATAAAGAGCTACTTGAACCAAGATTAAGTTTATACATTGGTAGAAATGGCGTAGACTCGTGTGTCGAACCAATGTAAGCAGATTACTCAGCTTTTTAATCTCGGTCTTATATTACTCGATCTTTATCTTTTTCTGATTCTTAGACCTATAACAAGATAAAAAGTAAGTTTAACCGAGATTAAAGTTAGAACTGTATACATCATTAATTGTTATTTGTTTCAGGTTTATTCACGCGGATGATAACCGCGTGGAAAAAAATTCAGTTTTGCGATATACGCGCGACGATAGCATTGCGTTATCAATATGTACGTTTACTTATATGTGAAGCATCTATACAATTATAGTCATCATGAATTAAACTCAATATACCGCATTCTGAATCTAGCTGAAGATTTTGCTGTAATTAAACAATTCCACGGATTGATTTAATCGCCGATTAAATTGATCGGATTTTAATCGAAGTCGCCCTCTGGCTGTGACGTATGCACGTATAAATACAGCTGACTCCTCTAACGTGGATTTCACACTCCGTTCGACATCCAATGAGAAGATTCGTTACCTAGGAACGAAAATGGCGTCTTGGACAATCCCTAGGATCCACGCGCTTCCATTGGTTGTCCCGCGTATCCTTGCGCTTGTCAAAATACTTGTCAGTTGCCGAACTGCCGAAGGGAGGGAGGTAAAGGGAGCAAGACGCAAGAGCGAGCGAGAAGGAAGCGAAGGAAGAATGAAAGAGAGAAAGAGAGTGAACGCAGCGGCAATCGCGGCACTGCGCTGAGTGCTGACTGCGCATCGCAGTCAGTTTTGTAGGCGCGGCGTGATAGGTGGTTCGTATGGTTCGTACAATCCAGTACAATCCCTGGAAGCTAGGGATCGCGCCCGCCGCCCGCGTTCGACACAGCTCGAGCAACCTCGAGCAAGCTCGAGGCTCGAGGCTCGAGTGGCTCGAATAGTCGACTCTGTCGTCTCTGTCGACTGAGCTCGACGACCTAGGTAGGGCCGTTCATTTCAGTTCATTTCAGTTCATTTCAGTACATTTCGAGGCGCAAACCAGCGCGAACCCATTGCCGCCGCGCGCGAGCGCGCGTATAGTGTATATATCCAGGCATACGGCAGACGGGATGGCGTCCACGAAGAGGAAGCAGGACGAGAGGAACTTGAAGACGCTCCGCGAACTGGTCTCGCAGCCGGGCAACAAGGAATGCTTCGACTGCAACCAGCGCGGGCCGACTTACGTCAACATGACGATCGGCTCGTTCGTCTGCACCTCTTGCTCTGGTATGCTGTAAGTAGCTCCGGCTCCAATAACTTCTCTGCTCGTCTCGTCGCCCTCTCACACTCTCTCCCCCCCGCTCCTTCGTCGATCTTTCCTCGATCGCGTGCAGCTTAACCGCTGTTAAGTATGCCCTTCTCCCCCCCTCCCCTTCCCCCGTTCCCCGCCTCCGCCTCCGCGACATGACATTGGGTAAATGTCATACAATCCGATCGTCGTCTCGGACGCGAACCTAGGGTTCGCCCGAGACACTCGCAGATCACCCTCGGAAAGGTCTCATTGTCTCCCAGAGAAGGGCAGCATGACAACGTCATGCAGTGCGGTCAGCCCTGCGAATCGGAACTCGGAACACGGCGAGGTCAGCGAGCTGCGGTACCACGATCGATGGTATCGCGATCATCGCGGCGAGTAGCCGTCTCTATCCCGCGCTCCAAATCCTACTTCTGACCATGATTCGTGTGACGACTATAAATAGAAAGAGGGAAAATCCGTGCCGCGTGACCACCGAGTGGGCAGATGCTCCTGGTGAACACACCGCCGTTATCCTCAGAAATGTCCTTTTATGTGGGACGCAGCCAGCAGCCTCCGCGTGAAAATCGCTTCGGGCGACGTACACGTGTACAGGCCTCCTCAGTCTTCTTCTTCTTCTTCTTCTTCTTCTTCTTCTTAATCGCAATGCGTTGCGTTCCGACGCGAAGAAGAGAAAGAAGAGAGGGAGAGCGAGAAAGAGAAGAAGGAGAGAAAGCGAGGGAGAGACTGTGCGCTCTCGCGCACGGGCTCCAAATGAGTCATCGCGTTAAAACGTCGGCGGCGTCCACGGCCAGGAAGTTAGCGCTATCAGCGACGTCGACGTCGACGTTTTCTTTGTGCGCAGTTCTAGTTATCATTGGTCAAAATGTTACGCGCGCGCCGCTAAAGAAAAAGGAATGAAAAGAAATGCATTTTTTTCAACAAGTCCCTTTTTCCCCTCGGTTCTCTCTCTACCTCTCTCTCTCTCTCTCTCTCTCTCTCTCTCTCTCTCTCTCTATATTTCTCTTGTTTCCCTCCCAGGAAATTGCGATCGCTCACGCGCGATACGCGAGGTGCCGATTATCGACTCGCGGTCTTTAATCGGTCAAGTCGCGTTGCACCGCACCGCGTCGCATTGCACTGCACACGCGCGCACGTGCGGATTTTTAAATCTCGCTGTACTATATTTGCGAGCCTATATGACGTATTACTAGCACGCGAGCCTCGTTATTATTCGTCACGGAAACTTAACGATTGACGTACGATAAGCGGAGGGACGAAAGTATTCCAGAGCGAGCCGCGATTTGAAAAAAGGAATATCTATATGACGTAATTACAATGGCTAAGCACTCATTGATTTTCCGCGAAATCCCCTCCTCTCTCTTTCTCGTACTTGTTTCACATTCTTTAACAAATAATTTCGAATTGATAAGCGTAGAAACGCTCAGTTTCCAAAATACAAGATAACGTTTCTCCATTACCACTGATCAGCTGACGTAAATTATTGTAAATATTTTTGTGAAATAGAAATCGCAATGATGATAATTTGTTCAACTATGAGGAACTGTAGGTATGTTCGATACAAGAGCTCTGTTCTTTTTTGATGAATATTTTGAATTGGTGTACGCTAGTATACAATATCGTTTTGATAAGTTGGAATGTAACAAACTATGTTTGCACCAAGACAATATATATGTGTGTGTTCACACGAATCACGTCACGATAAGCAAGATATTCCCGTCTGCCCGATCAATCCGATCTCTGCGTCAATATTGCGTCAATATGAATCGGAATCCTGATCTACAAGCCCTCGTGTTGCATTTCCAGACGAGGCCTGACTCCACCACACAGGGTAAAGTCTATTTCCATGGCGACCTTCACCCAGGATGAGATAGACTTCATAAAGGAGCATGGCAACGAGTACTGCAGGAGAATATGGTTGGGCCTGATGAACTCAAACTCCCCGCAGAACTTGGATACTAAGGACGAACAAAAGATGAAGGACCTGATGAGCGCCAAGTACGAACTTAAAAGATATTATCTGGACCCATCAATCGCAAATCAAAATACGGTAACGACACAGCCAAGGTCACAGTCCACGAGCAGCATTCCGAGGGTACCGAACTCTGGAACATCCACGACATTGCCCGCACCGGTCGGCCAGAAGCCGAGCAACACGGATGCATTGAACAATTCCAACAATTTCTCGACGGACTTCGTCGCCGATTTTAGCAAAGTTCCTGATCCCTTCTGCCCGACGACGACGGCGCCGGTCGGTCAACAGACGATCGCACCACAGCCATTCTTCGCTAATTTTGACAATAATCCAGTTTTTAATAATTCGAAGAGTGAGTAACGATATCAGAGTGTCTCTGTCTCTCTTAACGTTAAAATACCGAAATTGTAATAACGCTTGTCTTATAATGAACAATTTTATTATTGAGGTATGGAAACGTCCGCAATGTTTAATCAGGTCGGTGGAAACGCCACGATGAACATGAATGGGATACACGCGCCACCCTCGGAAGATCGTTACGCGGCACTTAAAGACTTAGACTCATTGATGAAGCAAACGCAATTGAAGGAAGAGACAACTGGAACCTTATCTGCATCTACATGGAATGCAAATAATTCAAATGGTGAATATTGCTAACTTGCAAGTTTGGA